TTTTGTTTGTTTTGTTTGTCCTAAGAGTGTGGCTTTGTTCTAGAGAAAGCCTTCTCTCTCATTTCCACTTATCAAGAAGCACAGATAGTCACATCTGCATTTAGTGGCAGACAATTATCAAGTTTGGGGTCAAATACACAATATACACAAGTATCACTTGTGACCAACCATTGCCAGCTCCTATGGGGTCAGCTAAGTCTAAGTTCTCTTCTTTTCCAGGAAAATTTATTTTTTCTCTCATTATATTCCTAAATTTTGCACTTAACTCAGAACACATCGAAAGAGCTTTACAACAAAATTGAGACAAGACCCAAATAAAATTATTACCCTGCAGATCAAACAGTATAATAGCCCACTTTAAAACTGATCATGTATTGACAAGGATGCTTGTAGACATTGTAACAAAAGTGGAATAATAATGGTTTTATTTTACAAAAGAAAATTCAAACCAAAAAACTTCCTCCATTCAGATTAATAATTGTACTTCAAGAAGGGAAAAAGATGCCTATCTTACCCTTAAATAATCAAGTTGAATTGACTATACATATAAAACTAGTCAACCTCATCAATTCCTGGTGGACGCAGGTGCTATTTGTTCCATGTGAAATCCTGCCTCTTCCTCAGAATAAACTTACCACACAGGTGGGAGGTATTTCAATAACCCACAGGTTTTTACCATCTCCCAGTTTTTAACACTTGGGCATTTGACTTAAAAACATTTTTTAATCCTCTCTAATAACACAGCTGCAAATATGACAGGGAGAGATTTACTTTTCAAATGAGTTCATAATATTAGATGCACACCGGAAATTCCAGGTATGTTTTGAAGTTTCAGAGGATTTCTCTATTCATAATCAAGTAGTAGATTATACTTTGATATACCTTTGCCCTCTCCATTACATTTGATACATACCTCCATTAGCGATCTTGACATTATACCTGACACACTATGGGACACACAATAACACAGGAAAATAATGGAACAGATCTTATTAAACTTTACCTCACCAAAGTGTTACCCAATCGTCACCAATAGCCCTTGAAGCCAGAAGCAAGAGAAAGTCTCAGACCCATTGGCAAAGGCCTTATATCCAAAGGCCTTCTCTTACTCTGAACTAACCTTTGTGACATTGTTACACTCCCATTCTGCAAGGAAAAGAAAGAAGGAAAACACTGCCACCCACAAAACAAATGGCCAAGGATATCTATTTGTTCAAAACCTCAAGGTCATCAATAAAATTGTTAGCCCTCACTTCTCACTTCCCAGTAGTACCTAATCCAAATATCACCTTGTTGTCAATTCCTAAAACCACTTAAGTCCTTGTAGTAGATCTGTGATCGTTTTCAGCATGCCCCTAAAGCAAGACAACAAATATCTTCTGGTCCTACTTGGGGAGAATGACAATATGCCTGCACCATTATGCTCTAGAAATTAACTAAAGCACCCTCATATTTTTTCCAGGCCATCAATCAAGACAGAAGGTATAAATTTTCTTTGATTCAGCTTTGACACAATATGTAGATGATCTATTTTGTTGAGAGGAAAGAGGAAACCGATAAAAAGGGAATCCATTTACTTGCTCCCAACCTTAGTGGGAAAGATCATAAAATTTTCAAAAGTTAAATTACGATTTTACCAAAACATAGTCCATTATAGGCCATGATCTATCTAAGGAGAAAAAAAAAAAAGGCCTCTCTTCAGATAGAATAAAAACTACCAAAATGATCCTAAACCTCTTACAATACAATAATTGAGAGGATTTCTAGGTTTAACTGGATGTTGCAGACAACATGTGCCAATTTTTTTTTTCTGAAATTGCATCAACTCTTTATCAACTGACTACATCCTAAATAAGAGACTCTCTCTTTTAGGATCCAAAACATGAACAAGCCTTCTATTACCTAAGGAAGGTTTTTCAAAGCTTTCTTCCCTAGGCTTCTTTAACTGCAAAAAGCCTTTTTTGTCTATTTGTTCATAAGTGGTTTGAACAAGCCTTTTTGTCCTCTATGGTTCATGGGAAACAAAAACCCAAATGCTTACTATAGCCTCATTTGACTTGTTCACTTGGTCTTAGGCCAATTGCTACTACATGTCAGTATTTCTGGTGAACTAGTTCTAGGCTCCATGCTTGATCTAGGTCTCAGTTAAACTGCTGAGTCCTACAACACCCTGAGTCCTTCTGCTTTCCTGCCTTCATCATAATAAGGAGGACCTCAAGATCACCTTACCATGGTTAGGTAACCTTTGCTATCTCACTCAAATGTATTAGAAGCTTACATTGAGCATCTTCTTCTAATATCATAGCTCAAAACTGAAACTGGAGGGAATTAAACAGGATACACTCTAATTTAAGCTCTCCTTTATAATACAATCTTCTACCTGAGAGAAAATCAGCCCAGATGGGAGAACTTACTGCACTTGCTAGAGCTTTTCAATTCGACAAAGTTCAGAGAGGGATATATACTGATAACAAACATGTTTCTGGAGTAATACTTGATTAGGAGTTGCTTTGGAAACAAAGGGGTTTCTAGGTAGCTGAAAACACCAACTAAAAAAAATAGACTATAGTTAAGGAACTTTTAGAGGCACTCCTACTTCCTAGACAGATGACTATGATAATGGTTTAGGTCCATGCAGGAAGGGGCAATATGGAAGTTAAAAGAAATTATCTAGTAGATCATTATGCCAAACAAGTCTTTACCAAGGTTATAATCCTATCTAAACTACCCAAAGATAAATCTATAGGTGAATTCCAAATAAGCCATTATAAATTAATAATTGTTTAGTCTGAGATTTTATAAAGAAAGAGTTGAAACTACCTAGTCTAACCCTTCACTCAGGTAATCTCTGACACTCCCAAGATAGTCTGATGGTGGCACCAGATGAATTCAAATAGATATTCAATAAATTTCTACATGAAACTACTCATCATGATACAAACTGGACACTAGCTTCATCAACATTGGTGAAGAAACTTTACAAAGACAGCTGAGTCTGGCATGTGTTCATGGCATGTATCACCTATCAACATAACACAGGGCCAGGAACCGAAGCTTCTAGGTACCTGTGAAAACCTTCAGATGAATTCTTACCATTTGTCAAGCCTTCTGCTGAACAAGTCAACCTTTCCAGAAGAATGTAGGTGCTAAAAATCATGTAGTTTTTAAGTAAATAATGACACTTTACAGAGTTCTTTTATAAAATTGTTCCTGTAAAGTATATGCCTTGGTCACTTGACATAAAAGTAGATATGCCCCAGGCTGATAACCAAATCAAGCTGCTTTTTAGCAACTGTAATTACTGGTAGTTCTTCAGCAAGAAAATGCTTCAACACATCTTAAAAAATAGATTTATGGTAAGTAAAGTATATTCAAATTCCATGGAGAGTGGAACCAGGAAGGAAGGAAGGAAGGAAGGAAGGAAGGAAGGAAACGGAGAAAGAAGGAGAAAGAATGCAGTGCATTTTAAAGAAAAATTATTCAAAGTCAAAGGGAGTTCTTAAGATTATACAAAAGGGCCTTCCTGAGTGTTCCTGTGATGCTCAGCCAACGGCCTGTGGGAAGTGTAGCCTCAGAATAAATGCATTTTGCATTTCAGATGCAGCTTGGCCTTTCAGCCAGTTATATTTTACAAGGTAGAAGATCCAAGATGTATGTTATGGGCTAAATAATGTCCCCTCAAATTTATAATTTGAGATCCCAACACCTAGTATCCAGAATGTGACTATCTTTAGAGATAATGTTCCTGAGGGACATTAGGTTAGGATGAAGGCATTAGAGTGGGACTATAATCCAATGTGACTGCATCTTTATAAGAAGAAGAGACACCCAGGATCCATGCAGAAAGAGGAAAAACCATGTGAGGACACAGGGAGAAGGTGGCCGTCTGCAAGCCAAGAAGAGTGAGCACAAGAGAAACTGAACTTACCAACATCTTAATATTGGACTTTCAGCCTCCAGAACTGTGAGAAATAAATGTCTTTTGCTTAAGCCACTCGGACTGTGGTATTTTGGTATGGCAGTGCTAGCAGACTAACACAAGGTACACTTTCAGCATTGTTGTAAGCACCTTTCTGATCTATGTGTGTATGTATATAGATTCATTATTATCCCTATTCTTTAAGGCAAGCATAGCTTAAGTTTGTACAAGTTCACACTGCAAGTAAGTGGTAAGGTCAAGATTTGCATCTGGTTGGTCTGGACCCAGGGTCCTTTTAACCATGTGGCATTACATTTAGTGTTACTACATCCAAGCTCCAAATCATAGCGTTCTTTCTTCTTATAGTTTATGCTTCTGTATAAATTCAGGTATCTCTCATTTTGAGTTACTTCTCTTTGAAAGAATGTAGGGTATAAGTAACGAATGATTCCCTTTTCAAAATATTTTTAACGTTTTAGCAATGTGAAAATCCTACAATTTTAAAATTAAATTATTTGGTTTAGCAATCCAATTTTACTTATTTCCATGCTAATCCATGTAGATATTTATTTTTTGGTTATATGCACCATAGCATGTGCTACTAAAAAAGGTTTCCTTTACTCTGATTCCTTACACTTTATGTTATACATATCACACTAACTCCCTAAACTCCAATCTTTCTCCTATTAGGAAATAAAATGGCTAGTGGCTTTACAGCTGTGTACTTTGCCAAAATTTATTCTAACCATACATATTGGGTGATCTTAAGATGGGGTAGCAGAAAGAACCGTACACTTGAATACAGGACACCATTCATTAACTACCTGAGAGTCTCTGAGCAAATATGTTCCTTCCCTGGCTCTCCATTTTTTATTTTTCTTAATCGGTAAAATTAAGAAATTGGGATAGATGGGCCAAAAGACAACACAGGAAAGACGTCTAAACCAACTACTATTTCTACCACTCCACTTTGCCAGCACATTTTCTTATAAAATTTATGTCACTGGCAAAAGATATTAGTCTCACTGGTGATCCATTATTTAGAGTTTTGCAACTCACAAAATTTTCTTGGTTTAAACAGGAAATGATGAAGTCTATAACACCAATTTCAAAAGAGCTAGGGCTTCTTCAGTCAGCACAGGAGGCTCCTGCAAGGGAAAAACGACTCTAGGTGAGTGTTTTCTGATGAGATATAAAAGGTAAGCGGGAGTCAGACACACTTCTGGCAAATAAATCTGGCGTATAATGACTATGGAATACTACCGAATATTTACTAATAAGTTAACTTTAAATATGCACTTATAATTGTCATGTTTATATTTAAATTTTATTTATTAAAATACACTTATGGCTTGATAATTATCCAGTAGAGATAATATAAATTTTTATCATTTGTTGCTCACTGGCTTTAAAGATTGTAAAAATCTTTTATGAAAGATACTGTGACACTTAGCACTCATTTTCACTCACGATGACTACTTTTAAGAAAGTATATTGGAACTGAAACTGAATAAAAGCTGAAATTAATTTCATGGGAAAAGAAATGCATTTAAAAACTGTCGTCATTACATAAACCTTGGTTTAGTGTCTGTGTTAATAATAAACGTAAGTGTCAAATACATCCTTTGCTTTTAGTAATCATATTTGCTCTGGAATTGAGAGAAAATGTACAATACTAACTCATTTACAATTTGTTCCAAGTGTTCCTTTTGATTATGTTGTTTTTTGTGGTAATTATACTAATAAAAACAATACTGAAATTCAGGCCGGGCGCGTTGGCTCACGCCTGTAACCCCAGCACTTTGGGAGGCCGAGGCGGGCGGATCACGAGGTCAGGAGATCAAAACCATCCTGGCAAACACGGTGAAACCCCATCTCTACTAAAAATACACACAATTACCCGGGCTTGGTGGCGGCGCCTGTAGTCCCAGTTACTCGGGAGGCTGAGGCAGGAGAATGGTGGGAACCCGGGAGGTGGAGCTTGCAGTGAACCAAAATCGCGCCACCACACTCCAGCCTGGAAATTCAACAGCGTTTCTTTACTGATTGGATTTTTCATCTTTCCCAAAAGCATATTTAAAACATTCCTCTCACACAGTGATTTTTTAAATTACTAAATGTGAGCTGACTAATTTTCATTGTATATCAAGGTTACATCCAAATATATGAATATAAATTATGATCTTTCAGATTTCACAAAGTTCTGACCATCCTGAAATTCTTATTTCCAAATCATTTATATGGAAAAAATATAGAGGCTAATAAACACATTAGCACCTGGTAAATAATTCCTTGATTATAATGATTATCATGATAATGATTGATGATGATGATATTGATAACTTTTCAAACAACTTAAAGGGCCCTTAGCATGAAGTGCTTACAAAGCACTTTTCAAAACCCACCATCATTTGAATCCTCATGGAACAATGCTGTGAGGTAGACACAGTTGCTATCCTTAGGTGAAAAAATGAAGACACTGAGGGATGGCAAGGGAATTTTTTTTAAGAAAGTTGCCTGTTATACAGCTAGTTTTTTGCTAGATCCCAGATTTCAACCTGGGCAATAGTAGATTTAATGATAATTCTTGGTATACCTATTGTGAAGCACATGTTGTCTATGTAATTTAATTTGAGCATCACTAAATTCATAGAATTTAGGTGAGATATTGTAAAAATCAGGAAGGTTAGATTCAGTTTGACTAAGTTTGTCACCCACAAGTGTTAAGAGGCTAACACAGAACTAGAATATCATGTCATCTCTTTGTAGACATGCTTATTTTAGTTTATGTGAGGTTTGAAAGAAAGTATCCTAATGGGATGGGATTGGGAACACTGGCATTTATATTCTTTTTACCACTTAGTTCCAATAACCTTAGGGCTTTCACCTCTCTCAGTTTCCTCATTTTTAAATGAACACACCGAAATGGATAATTTCTAAAGTTACTTCCCAGTTGCAAACACTTTGTATTTGTATTAAACTCTCTAAGACATCTTCTTAAATGGCAATGAAGGCATAGGATAATTTCTGATTATGCTGCTGCCAATGAAAAAAAATTTTCTTTGAAATAATGCACGTAACTTGCTTTAAATGGCACCTGTCATAAGTGAAACACGAAATATATTTTATCTGTAATATTGAATCACTATGAGTGTGCTGTGATACTTTTGAATTTCAATATACACATCTCTTGACATGAGAACAGAAAAGTTTTAATTATAAATCATGCATTTGATCTCCCATTGTCTAGGAGAATCATTGGTCATAGTGAAATAATATATAAAGGAACAATTTTAAAATGCAGGTTTGCCACTCTATAATTGGAATAGTAGACATAAAGCCATAATTGTCTCCAATTTTGTAAAAAGCTTTTTATGTACCATTTTTCATTTTACTTCTCAGGGACCCCTATTAAAATTTTCACCTGTCTCTTACGTAGGAGATGGAGTTGCCTGTGGGGAAGCAGCTCCAGCACAGATCAAGGCTTCACATGAAAGAGTCTGGACTTGTATTTTGTTAACGTTCACTGTGAAGAAGATGCTCAATGGGAAATACAGACATACAGAAGGGAAGGGGAAATCTAAGGAAGTCATTGGTATCTAGGCCACAGATACTGTATTTGTTTTGTGTTGCCTTAAGAGAATACCTGAGACTGGGTAATATATAAAGAAAAGTGGTTTATTTAGCTCACAATTCAGCATGCTGAGAAGTTCAAGAGCATGGTGTGGCATCTGGCTGGCTTCTGGTAAAAGTTGTGTGCTGAGTCAAAACATGGCAAAGAAGCAGAAAAGCAAGCGGTCATGTGCGAAGAAATCACATGGCAAGAGAGGAAGCAAGACAGAATCTAGGAAGCTGGAGTCACTTTTATAAGAGCTCATTCTTCGGCAACTAATTCAGTCCAGCTGGAAAGAGAACTCACTCATTCCTGTGGGAAAGCATTAATCTATTCATGAGAAATCCACCCCCATGAAGCAAACACCTCACTATCCCACCTCCAGACATCAAGAGATTGGAGATCACACTTCAACATGAGTTTCCGAGGGGACAAACAAATCATAGCAGTTACCAATCCTGCTTTAATACAGGCCTGACGAAATGTCCTTTTGCAATCCTGGTGTTTTCTATTTTGTTAAACAGCTTTATTGAGATGTAATTCACTAACCGTAAGTTTGCCCATTTCAAGCACACAATTCAATGGTTTTCAGCATATTCACGTATTGTTGCAACCATCGACCACAACCTAAACCTAAAGTATTTTTATCAGTACTCCCTAAAAGCCCCCATAACTTTTTGCAGTCCTACCCATTGCCCTCCATACCTCCAACTCCCTGCCATAGGCAACCACCAATCTACTCTCTATCTTTATAAATTTACCTGTTCTCCCCGTTTCATATAAATGGGGCCACACAATGTGTTTTCTTTGGTATTTGACTTCCTTCACGTAACACTTTCATTTTCATGTTGTAGCATGGATCTGTTCTTCATTCCTTTTTATTGCTGAACAATACTCCATTGGGAGGATAAACAGCCATGCATCACTCAATGAGGAGGATGCATTCTGAGAAATGTATCATCAGGTTTCATCACTGTGCAAACATACACAAACCTAGATAGTGTGGCCTATTACACACCTAAGCTATGTGGCTTAGCCTTATTGCTGCTCCCAGGATACAGATCTGTACAGCGTGTTGTTACTGTACTGAATACGGCGTGCAGCTGCAACACAATGGTAAGTATTTGTGTATCTAAACATATGAAAGGTACAGTAAACATACAACATGACAGATAAGGGCCCGGCACTGTGGCTCATGCCTGTAATCCCAGGACTTTTCGGAGGCCAAGGCAGGCAGATCACCTGAGGTCAGGAGTTCAAAACCAGCCTGGCCAACATGGCAAAACCCCACCTCTACTAAAAATACAAAAATTAGCCTGGTATGGTAGTGCACGCCTGTAAACCCAGTTACTTGGGAAGCTGAGGCATGAGAATCCCTTGAGACCAGGAGGGAGAGGTTGCAGTGAGCCGAGATCGTGCCACTGCGCTCTAGCCTGTGCAACAGAGCAAGACGCTGTCAAAAAGCAAACAAATGAAAAGAAACAAAAACAAACAAAAAGAAAAGAGAAATGAAAGATGAAAAATGGTATACTTATATAGGGCACTTACTATGAACAGAGCTTGCAGGACTGGAAGTTGCTCTGAATGAGTCGGTGAGTGAGTGGTAAGTGAATATGAAGGCCTAGGACATCACTGTATACTACTGAAGACGTAATGAACACTGCACACTTATGCTACAGTTGATTTTTAAAATAACTGTGCTACGACTTTATGACAGCTACCATGTCACTAGGCAGTAGGAAGTTTTCAGCTTCATTGTAATCTTATGGAGCCACTTTTGTATATGCAGTCTCCTTAACCTAAAAGTCATTATTTAGTGCATGACTATACTGCATTTGTTTACCTGTTCATCAGTTGATGGATATTTGGGTTGTTTCTACTTTTTGACTCTGAATAATGATAATGCTGCTATGAATATTTTGTTTTCATGTGGTTTTCATTTCTCTTGAGTATATACCTAGGGCTCGTTTGGTGACTCTGTTAGTACATATTGGGTACAAGAAATGTGTGTGTGTGACTGTATCATGAAAAGTGTGTGTGTGTGTGTGTGTGAGAGAGAGTGAGATAAAAAGGTGATGGTTTGTTTTACAAGACAAGAAGAATAGGAAAAAAATCATTCAATAGAAATTATATGTAAGTAGATTCTTATATTTTAACAACAAATGTATTTATGTCTTTTATACATAAAAGAAGCATATAGACATGGTATTATAGCCTGTGATAGTTAAAAAATATATGAAGTTGAAAGCACCATTCCTGCTTTCATCACGTAAACAGTATCCCAACTCTAAATTCCATGTATTGCCTATTCTAATGAAAATAACTTTGTGACATTGAAGTTTTCCTCATTCTCTTATATGTGCTTCTGTTATTAAGCAACAATAATGCCACTGTTTTCTTTAGGCTGCTCACAACCCCTTGCTCACATGCTTCAGTGGGCTGAGAATGACCAGCCTGCTAAGTGACTGTGTGGAGTGAACTAGAGTAACATCAGATTCCATTAGCTGCAGGCAGGCTTGGTGCAGCAAAGCTTGAGGGAGGAGAACACAGCTGAGTCAGAGCTTATCCATCATTGGTTGCTGAGCCTCACTGAGAGTATGTTGTCTGCTGAGAACAAGATTTACCTGGAGACTGAAAATTGAACTGATCATGGGTGAGGCAAGTTAGTAAGGTGAGTTAACATGTTAATAGGAGTGAAGCAGACCTATAAATAACATATATGACAATGCCATTCAATGTGAATTTCCAGCAATATTGGCAGGTTTTTAAATTATAAGCTTCTTAAAAATCTCTTCATTGTGTTACCTGCTAGTTAAAAATGCAAAACCAAGAGACTGATTTTTATTTTACAACGACTATAGGCTCTTTACTTGATTTTTTTCCTTTTTGTAAAGAACATTTTAATAGCACTATACAGCATTCTTACCTACAGGTACAGTGCTATACAGCAAATTTCTAGAACTTATTCATCTTATATAACTTTATACTCATTGAATAACACTTTCCATTTCTCCCTCCCTTTAACCCCTAGTACCATGAATCTACTCTGTTTCTATAAGTTTAACTATTTTAGGTAGCTCATATCATTGGAATCATGCAGCATTTGTCCTTCTGTAACTGGCTTGTTTCCCTTAGCATAATGTCCTCCAGGTTCATCCATTTTGTTGCAAATGACAGGATTTCCTTTTCTGTTAAGGCTAAATAATATTTCATTGTATGTACACACCACATTTTCTTTATCCGTTCATCTGTAAGTAAACACTTCGGTGGTTTCCATGTCTTACCTATTGTGAATAATGCTGTAGAGACCATGGGAGTGCAGATATCTCTTCTAGATCCTGATTTCATTTCTTTCATGTATATACCCAGAGGTGACACTGCTGAGTCATACGGTAGTTCTATTTTTAATATGTTGAGGAACTTCAATACTTTTCTCAATAGTAGCTGAACCATTTTATATTCCTACCAGCAGTGTAGAAGGTTTCCCATTTCTCCACATCCTTGGCAACCCCTGTGATCTGTCGTTTTTTGATAATGGCCATCCTGACATGTGTGAAGTGATAGCTCGTTGTATTTTTCACTTTGGAATTGCATTGATGGTTTGAGACGTTGAGCATCTTTTATTCTACCTGTTGATCATTTTTATGCCTTCTTTGGAGAAATGTCTATTCAAGTACTTTGCTCATTTATTAATCTGAATATTTGTTTTTTTGCTCTTGAGTTGTAGGATTTCCTTACATATTTTTGGTATCAACCCCTTATAAGATATATGGTTTTCTAATATTTCCTCTCATTCCACAGGCTGCCTTTTCACTCTGTTTATTGTTTCCATTGCTTTGCAGTAACTTTTTACTTTGACAGAGTGCCACTTGTCTATTTTTGCTTGTGTACTGTGTTTTTGGTGTCACAGCCAAGAAATCATTGCAAAGACCAATCTCTAGGAGCTCGTCCTTTATGCTTTTATCTAAAAGTCTTACAGTTTCAGGTATTACATTTAAATTTTTAATCTATTTTGGGTTGATTTTTGTGTATGATGTAAAACAAGGATCCAGTGTCATTATTTTGGCTGTGGATGTACAGTTTTCTCAGCACCATTAATTGAAGAGACTATCCTTTCCCCATTGTGTATTTCTGGCATCCTTGTTGAAGATCAGTTGACGTTATATGTGGGTTTATTTCTGGGATTGAGACTTTGTTCCACTGGTATATTTGTCTGTTTTTAATGCCCACACCACATTGTTTTGTTTTTAAATATATTTTGAAATCAGTAAGTGTGATGCCTCCAGTTTTGTCCTTCTTTCTCAAGATTGCTTTGCCTAATTGGGGTTTTTAGTTTGTCATTTTCATGTAGATTTGAGGATAGAATATTTTCTATTTCTGTGCAAAATTCCACTGGGATATTGATAGTGATTGCATTGAATCTGTAGATTACTTTAGATAGTATGAATATTTAACAATATTAAGTCTTCCAGTCCATGAACACACGTCTTTGTATTTATTTCTGTCTTCTGTATCTTTAATCTCTTTCATCAATGCATTATAGTTTTCAGTGTACAAGCCTGTTATGTATGGTTCGAATATTGGTGTTCCTCCAAACTTTATGTGTTAAAGTCTAATCCCTAATGTGATGAAATTAAGAGGTGGGACAGTTGGGAGGTAATTAGGTCATAGGAACTCTGCCCTCATGAATGGGATTACTGTCCTTACAAAAGAGGAGTCATTTTTGTCATTTCTGCCACGTGAGGATGCAGCAAGAAGATACCATCTCTGAGAAACAGGTCCTTACCAGACAACGAATCTGCTGGTGCTTTGATGTTGGGCTTCCCAACCTCCAGAACTGTGAGCAATAAGTTTATGTTGTTTATAAATTACTCAGTCTAAGGCATTCTGTTATAAAAGCCTGAACGGAATAAGCCTCCTTGGTTTATTTCTAAGTATTTTTCATGTCATTCTAAATAGGATTGTTTTCTAAGGTTCCTTTTCAGATAGTTGTTAATAGTAACATGGCTTTTGTGTTGAGTTTGTAATCCTGAAATGTTACTAAATTCATTTGTTAGTTCTAACTGTGTGTGTGTGTGTGTGTGTGCGCGCGTGCTTCATCCTCAGGGTTTTCTACATATAAGATCATGTCATATGTACACATAAATCATTTTACTTCTTCCTTTCCTATTTGGATGCCATTTCTTTTTCTTAGCAATTACACTGGCTAGGACTGCCGATATTATCTTGAATAGAGGTGACTAAAATAGTCATGTTTGCCTTCTTTCTGATCTTAGAAGAAACGATTTCAGTTTTTCACATTGAATATTGTATTATACTAATGGTAGGTGTTTCATATTTGGGCTTTATTATGTTAACGTTAATCCTTGTATACCTAGTTTGTTGAGAGTTTTTATCAAGGAAGGATATTAAATTTTATCAAATGCTTTTCTGCAGTCTATGGAGATTATCAGATGATCAGATGATTTTTATCCTTTATTTTGTTGTATTACATTA